GACTCCGAATGGAAGGGGGGAAATATAGAGGTAAGGGCTAAAAAAAGTTACTTCAAGCAACTTCTCGCCGGTAGGGAGAACCTATTAGAGGAATCTACCGCCTCTGGGGCAAGCTAGTCTTACACTTGCTGTCTTTGGGGGTATGTGGAAGAACGAATCCAAGAGAAAAAGAAAAAAGAGCTCCAAATTCTTGTGTATTGATATGCTGGGTGCGCCTGGCAGAAAAAAGCTATTTGCCGAAGGCCGCCCGGAGACTCTGAGCCCCCCGGAGCTTCAAAGTGAAATTGTCACCTAAAAAGTAAAATACTCGAGGGACTGCCTTGTGCTCATTTCGAAGGAGGCTAGAGGGGGAGCAAACAGTACAACTACAAATAGTGGGTCTTTTTCTTGTATAAGTACCTGCTTTGTAGGAAATGCTGGCGTATATAGTGGCGGGCGTAAGCGTTCAATAAAAAAGACCCACTTTGTAGTATTGTTTTCTCTCTAGCCTCCTTCGAAATGAGCACAAGGCAGTCCCTCGAGTATTTGTAGTACCGACAATATTGTAACCCGAAAGAGCATGCTGGCAGCGTGCAAGTGAGGATTAGATTGGCCTGGCGACCGTGCTCTATCACGAACAGCTAGTCCTCCCCAGCACACGTACAAACAAGCACCACGCCAGTATGTTTTTTGTGTCTAGCAAATGCAGTTATGTCAAAAGAACAAAAACCCGATGGATGGCAGCGTCCCCGTGTTGCCACAGGTTGTCGCTTTCCTATCAGTTTCAAAACTATCTCTTATTGCGAAACCCAGTAGCTGCCTCCAAGAGAGCATACTTGTTTCCAGCCGGTAGGGGCCGGGTGGTCCAACAAAATGGGGGAAAAACTAATGGTTTCTGCTTGTATAAGCACTTACTTCGGAAATACTTGGAGGCTGCCGGTTGCAAAATCTTGATGTGGGGTGTGTGCATGTAGCCCGGATAAATCCGGGTTTAGCGGGGGGCCGCGAGCGTTCGAAAAAGGACCCACTTTGTAGCTGTACTGTTTCTCACAAACCAGCACAAAGGCGGCCCCTCGAGTATTTTCTGCCGTCAGTTTGAGTATTTGTACGAGAAAGGTGCGTCCGTGGCGCCGCTTCGGTTTCGGGGAGCTGAAGTCGAAGTTCGTACGCGACGTGCTTCCTGTTGCGACACCAGCCGGGAGTCCTGTCTGAACCTGGGGTTCGGGCTGTGCACCACTCTGTTAAAGTCCCCCCGTTAGCAGGATAATTTATGTACACTACAGAAAAGATTTATTTCGTTCCAAGACGATTACTGTGCACCACCTAAAATATTTATTTCGTGTCCATACTTTATGTGCACTACCAAAAATATTGATTCTGTGCCCATTCAATTTATGTACACAACCAAAAATATTTATTTGGTTCCCAGGCACCCTATGTATACTACCGAAAATATTTATTTGTTACCAGGCGCTTTATGTATGATACCGAAAATATTTATTCTGTTCCCAGGCACCTTACGTACACTACCGAAAATATTTATTTCGTTCCCAGGCACCCTATGTACACCACCGAAAAGATTCCTTTTGTTCCCAGACAGCTTATGTACACTACCGAAAAGATTTATTTCGTTCCCAGACACATTATGTCCACTACCGAAAAGACTTTTCTCGTGTCTGCGCAATTTATGTACACTACCTAAAATATTTATTTCGTGTCTACGCAATATATATGGACTACCGAAAATATTTATCTCGTCAGTAAACAGAGTATGTGAATCACCGTCTGCAAGTCTGGGATTGCTGACACTCCCTTTTTTTGGTAAGGCCGCCCTTGGAAAAAGTCGCATTTGAAGGAATCGTTCCGATCACAAAGTCGCGTAGTACCAAGTGATGGGAAAAGAGATGTGCAGGGTCACTAAGTGAGGTGAGAACGTGATGAACAGGGTCACTAAATGAGGTAACGAAGTGATGGCCAGGGTCAACTGAGGGAGGCCATGGGGTGGTATTGGGGGGGGGGGTTTTGGGGGGTATTTTACCCCCACCCCACCAAAACCGGGTTTTTTGTCTGAACCGGGTTTTTTTGGCTGGGAGCCATCCTGTTAAAGTCCCCTGCCCGCTAGGTAAAAAAAAAAAAAAAAAAAAAAATTGAAGGGGGAAAAAAAGATAGCCCGAGCGCCTGCCCCGAGTTGCTTCTACAACAGCTTTTTTTTTTTCCTTTTTTTTTTTTCAACGCAAGGAACAGCGCGCTTCCGGCGAAGTCTGCGTACATGCACCAGGTGCAGGAGCTAACTGCTGTCGGGTGCGGGTACCCCCGCAAATCCAGTGGAGTTCAGCGGACACCCGCGTATACAGGTGATCTCACTGAATTTCACTGGGTTCGCGGGTGTGACACCCGCAGAATGGACCGCAGTGAGAATATTGGCAGGTCAGTTGGTAGACAGCGACCGCGTGCTCGTGCAAACTGTGCAGTGCGAAGTGAGAGCCAGTGAGGGCTAGACTAATTGCGCACTGTAGAAATATGCGTGCTCGGCAAATCGTGCGTGCAAAGAGCACCTACCACAGCATCGGCGTGGGCTTGATGTGTACACCATATGAAAGCTTGACAAATTGTGCATGCGTAACAGCACACGAGCAAGGTAACCTGTACATGCGAAACATACGTATGTGTGCTCGCAAACTGTGCGTGCAACGAGCACATCCCCATGATAATCTGTGCATGCGGCATGAGCACGATGCGAACATATAAGGGCTTGACAAGTTGTGCACGCAAAGAGCACGAGCTTGACAACCTGTACATGTGAAACTAACATACGTATGCGAGTTGGCAACCTGTAGAACATACACGTGCTCGGCAAACTGCGTGCGAAGAGCACACATCACGACATTCGGTGCATACGACAAGAGCTTGATGCGAAGAACATATGAGAGCTTGACCAATTGTGCATGCGAAGAGCACAAGAGCTTGCACCCTGTACATGCGAAGAACATGCGTATGCGTGCTCAGCAAACTGTGCGTGCGAAGAGCACATACCATGACAATCTGTGCATGCGACGCGAGCTTGGATTTATGAGAGCTTGACACACTGTACATGCGAAGGACAACCCCAACTCGCTTCGCACACAACTGCGCTCAATCTCTGCAGGAACGGCCAGCGCTCGTAGCGAATGGCTATGCGAACACATTACGGCGGGCAGGGAGAGGCCCTGGAGCTGCTACACGGTGCACTAGGCATTCAATTCAAGGACATGACACTGCTATTCCAATGTAATGCACCGCAGGGGTGCGTCTGCGGCCCCCTCCCCACCTTCACCCTGGGGCCGTCCTGAATCTTGCCTGGCCACAAGACGTCATGTGGGGGTTCTCATCCGTTGACTCGTTTTGATGCGCTTAAGTGCTTCCCTCGGGCTTACCGGGACTGGTCGCTTGCTGCCCAAACTTTGCCGCCCCACGTTGTGTCTGCTAACAAGAAAGGTGCAACGGCGAACCCGACTAGAAGAAATACTCAGCACCAGAAACTACCCATGCCGTGATCGGACATGAGCCTGCAACAAAATAAGACTGCCCGGACAATACAGTTTTCGGGAGGTCTGTGTATTCTTCCAAGAAGGTGCATGAAAATGCGGACATATACTGCGTACATCGAGCTGAGATTTCCCCCCTTCCCCGCACGCCAAGTTCGCCATTCGGTATAAGTTCGTCCAGAACTTCTGTCACTTCGTTTGCGAGGTTCTTGGTCCTTCTCTCTCTCTCTCTCTCTCTCTCTCTCTCTCTCTCTCTCTCTCTCTCTCTCTCTCTCTCTCTCTCTCTCTACTGAACTCGCCTTCTCTCTCTCTCTCTCCTCTCTCTCTCTCTTCTCGTCTCTCCTCTCTTCTCTCTCTCTCTCTCTCTCCTCCTCTTCTCTCTCTCTCTCTCTCTCTCTCTCCTCTCTGAACTTCTTACCTCGGCTTATTTCGGACCGGGCCGCGTTGCTGCCCTCAACCTCGCACTCGTGCTGTTGCTAACAAGAAAGAATAAACGGCAAACCAAGCTAGACCACTAAACTGCACTACTTGTGCCACGAAAGATACAAATCCCGATACCATGCCGCATAAAGAACATGAGTCTGCAAAATAAACCGCCCGAACAGTACAGTTTTTCGGGAGGGAGTCTCTCACTCTCTCTCTCTCTCTCTCTCTCTCTCTCTCTGGAAAGGTCAACGCGGTAGCGGCGACCACGAGAACACATACAGGTGGGTGGGGAGAGGCCCTGGGACTGCTAAGGCGTGACTAACACCACACCTTTGACTTTTTGATGTGTCCCTCTCTTCTCTCTCTCTCTCTCTTCTCTCTCTCTCCTCCTCTCTTCTCTCTCTCTCTCTCTCTCTCTCTCTCTCTCTCTCTCCTCTCTCTCTCTCTCCTCTATCTCTCTCTCTCTCTCTCTCTCTCTCTCTCTCTCTCTCTCTCTCTCTCTCCTCTCTCTCTCTCTCTCTCTCTCTCGGGAAAGGTCAACGCGTAGCGGTGACCACGAGAACACATACAGGTAGGTGAAAGCCCTGGGACTGCTAAGGCGAGACAACAACCACACTTTTGACTTGTTTCATGTGTTCTCTCTCTCTCTTTCTTGTTCTCTTTTTCAGCATGTGCTCTTTGGAATGACGGTATGCAGGGTGACACGCCCTCGGCGCTTCGAGTTCTTCAACGTCCAAGACTTCTTGCTCCAAAAAAAAAAAACATAAAAAAGCAAGGACAGAAGGGAAGTGCAAGGATTGAGAGTGGGGCAAACGCGTCCGTGCTGCTGGTTGCGATTGTCGAACCCCGGCCGCCGCTCTGTCCATGGTTTGCAGCAATACCGATCCTCGTGTGAAAGCATGGCCTAACGATCCTTTGGTCTCGCTTCATGTTCAAGGGATGAAGCCGGAGGAGGATTACCACTGGCTTCTGGCAGCCAAGCGTTCACCTAGTTGGGGGAGGCGCAGTCCTGGCCACGGGGTCCTCGCTCCCCGGCTGCGCCTGCATCCGGAGCTCTTCCGCGAGAACCCCACGAAGTAGCCCTTAGTGCAGCTCCTGGGCAACCCGGGCGAACTCTGAGTTTCCCCAGAGCTACCCGCCACCTCCGTGAAAAGTTCACGTAATAACTCAGCACACAAGTGTGCTGTATCAGGTATTAAGCTGATAAGACCAGGTACTACACTTGATCTTAGCCAAAAGGCCGAGAAGGTAGGCCTCCAGGTAGTGTTTGATGCTAGCATCAAACATGCATGAGAGGCTGTGTCCTGCCGAACCCCGGCGATCCCTGGTGATCCCTCGGTATTTCCTTCGGCATGGGTGGTCTTTTTGCTTCGTGCTTGCCGGCAAGCGCACCTTTTTCGGGTGTGGCTACAGGGAGAAGGTACGAGAGCGATCGCACGCACGCTCCCGGGTGCCGCACCTTCTCTCCCAATTATATTATGCGCCCTGCTTTCCCTCCATCTTCTGTGGCTGGGAATCACCCTGGATACCCATCCACATTTAAGGCAAGTAGAGACATGCTGCGATGCAGGAGAGGTCCTCAAGTGCCGTTGGTACCAGCCCGCATAGCGCCCCTCTTGCGACGAACAAACGAACCAAGCGGGAGACCGCGGGCAAGCGGCAACACCAACAGGAGACGGGCGACCATACGATCCCGCACCAACAAACGCGTTTGTTGCTGCTGGAAAGAGACAGTTGGCAGCGTATCGTGCTGCAAGTATCAAACAGCGACTACGCACGTGCGCAACGAACCAAGTAGTACTGTTGTACTGAAGAAACTTTCCAGAGCAACGGCCGCGCCAGAGAGGTTAAACGAACCCACCTCAGAAAAAATGAATTTTAGAGTGAACTTGCACTCTAACCCCCCACGACCCACCCCAAAAAAGGAGGTGGCCCCACCACTGGGGGAAGCGTTTGGAAAAAGAAGAAGAAAAAGAAGAAGAAGAAAAAGGCCGCTCCTGGTCCAGGAACGTGACGGTCAACCACAGCTTGCGAAGCTTGAGTCGGAGGCAGCACAGTGCCACAACCCCGTCCGCTCTGCCCTGCGGCTGACCGTCTCGACGAGCTTGCGTTCAGCGCGAGCGCCAAGCCCCAAGGTGCGCCAAGCCTTGATGCTTTTAGTCTGGGAAATCGGTAGCCACTTGACCCGTAGGCCCGTGGCTCCTTGCAGTACCGCCGAACACGTGAAGCTTGGCTCCCGTGTAGCAGGCTTTCCCTGGTACCTAACCCACCCCAAAAAAGGGGCGGCCCCAGCGTTTGGAAAAAGAAAACAAAACAAAAACTCTGCATTCCCGCGGAGAAGACTTGATGCTAGCATCGAACACGCATGTGAGGGGCAAGATACTAAACTAAGGTTTTCACCCCCAGAGTGGGTTGTTTGCTGTACGCCAGAAGAACAAGAATCTTCAACCGGATCATCTCTTTCACCGTCATTGACCAAGTTGTGATGCTAGTCGTCGGTTGTTTTGTTTCATCATGTGCAAGGACCACCCCCCGGCCGACTTCCGTTTCTCGCCTTTCGTCTTTTTTGCCACCTTTCTTTCTTTTTTTTTTGGGATGCGTCGACGCTTGGCTTGAAGAAGAAACGACCGCGAGAGATGTCACGATTCCTCGTTTTTGTCATCCACCCCCTCCTTTGTTCCCTTCTTTGCCCCCCGTCCCCTCCCTTTTCCCCCTTCAAAAAAAAAAAAAAAACGCATTGTTTTTCTTTTTCTTCTTTTTCTCCTTTCTTTTCGTCCGATTCACAGTTAAAAAAAAAAAGAAACCCTTCTAAAAAAGATTTTGTTTTAAGCGTGCCTCCTCTTGATCCGTTTCTGGTGTGGTGGAATCCTTGCCGACGGGTGTGGGCGCTGCAGCCCACCAGTGGGGCTATGCAGCCGCCTGTCAAACCAGACTCACACCGCTGTCCTGTCTGCAGACGCTCAGGTTCCGCGCTGTTGATGGTCCGCCTTATGTGTCCGTGGCTTAAAGGACCGAAACACGGCGCAGACGGGACCAGTGCGGTGTTGAGCACGTACCCATTCCAAGCACGTTCTTGCAATCACCGACCCGCACACACTCGGCTCACCCCCCCCGTGTAAAAGAGCGGTGACAGCGCAAACTACCGAACCGACGGATACCCGCCAAAACACCCCGCACACACAGTTCACCCCCCCCCCCCAAGAAAAGAAAAGAACAGAAAATAAGACTCTGCATTCCGCGAAGAAGACTTGATGCTAGCATCAAACACATGAGAGGCAAGTAGCGCCTGAACACGAAAACCCCCCCCCCCCCCCCCCCCCCCCCCCCCCTCCCCCCCCCCCCCCCCTGCCTCTCGTCCCTTCCGCGCTTCGTGATATGACGTCAGCGCTCGTTCGGCGAGCGAACGCGGCGGCGACCGTGCAAGACTTCCTCGCAGAAGTCTTCAGCAATGCGGGCAAAGGAGGGTACTACTGGGAAGACGCCGCCGCAACTGCCGCCGGCGGGGACAGCGGCGTCGGCGACGAGTCTGCGTTCTTGCAGTCCGAGATCGACGCTCTCCTCGCAACCTGCGTCAGCATGCGCCGCTGGCGCGGTACCGACACCGAAGCCGCGTCCGTGGTCCTCGAAGCAAGCCACCACAACAACTCGTTCGTCCGGCAGCCGCGACAGCCCGTCGACCCCTTCAAGCAGTACTACAACCGCAACTCGTACTACCAAAAAGCTGCCTCCCCATCGAGCCAAGCGACTCGCACGGAAACCCGGGTCCGGGCTCTCGTGAAGAGCCGCTTACTGCAAGCAGGTGTGGGTTGATTTTTGCACTCCCCTTCTCTTGAAAGCAGTTGCGGGGGAATGGCGGGAATCGAGCTCGTCCGATACAGTAAAAACTTTCCCCTCCCACTGTCACACCGCACACAAAGCTGTAAATTTGTTGCATTTAGTGTGATTGTCAGGCCTACGACTACCCTGAGCAACGCACTATGCACACTCCGTGTCTACGTCACAGCAGATGGAACGCGTCTGTTACGTCGCCGCGGAGGCGGCCTACGAGCGCACAAAGCTGAATCTCACAAGCACAAAACGTCGAAAGACACCAATCTGAACGCCCATGCGGACCTACCCTCACCTGCGCCAACTTGCCTCTCCTTTTATCTCAAATCCACGACCTTTTCCCAACCCGCGCAGCATCCTCGAAGGACGAGTGGGCCAGCTTCGGGAGGCACTGCGCCCGGCAGAAGAGGGACCGCCAGCGGGAGGCCCGGACGAAGGCGGTCGATGGCCGGGACATCGTCTCCTGCAACAAAAGCAGCGCCGCGGCGCGCACCGACGCGTTCGTGCGGTCCCGGATTGCAGAGGAGCGCCTGGCCAGGCGCAGCCGGCAGGAGCACACCCACGGGCGCCGGGTCCTCGAAACCCTGTACGCGACCCCCGGCCTCTGCAACAGAGCCAACACCGCCATCAGCGTGCTGGGCAACGCGCACCGGACCAGCCTATGGCGGGCGTGCTGCGCGGCGGCGGCGGCGGCGCAGGGGTTCTTGCGCTCGCTGCCGGCGGAAAAGCTGCGGGGGAGCCCGCGGCTCCGCGCGCTGATCCGGAAAACGGCGACGGCCCGCGCCGCGCTGAAGGCGGTGGCAACGAGCGGCCCCTGGCAGCCGCCGCCCGCCTTCGCGGCGTACGCCGTCATCGCACGCTGGCTGGTGCGGGCGCGGCGGACGGTCTGCGGGATCCGGGTGCGCAAGACGCTGCTGCACTTCCCGTCGCTGCGGTTCGGGCGCGCGATCCACAAGTTCCTCGCGCGCATCCGCGCCGCGCAGGGCATCGTCGCGGCGTACCAGCGGTCGACGGCGGCGCTGCTTGAGCTCTGGGACCGGCACTTCCTGCGGGTCGAGCCGAAGCTGCACTTGGCGCAGATCGAGGGACCGTTCAACCGCGGCAGGCCGAAAAGCTCGCAGCTGCCGGCGCGCACGAAAACGCGGAAGGAGCAACGACAGGAGCAGCTCGACAACGTCATGCGGAGCATGTTGCTCTCAGCCGCTCTCGCGAAGGCAGAACAAGGTCTTGCTACCCTCCCTTCAGAGACTCCATGCATAATACTTCGTACAGTGTTTCGTGTTTACGTGTATTGTGTCCACCAGTCAGTATTGGTTCCGCGTACAATAAACCCTTCCTCCCTCCCTTCCTCGAATTTGTAGATACGCTCTGAGCAGACAGCTGAGTGTGTGAGTGCGTGTTCTTGCGTTCGGTACAATTGGGTGTACGACGCCTTTGGATAGGTACAATCAGCGTCTTGCATGGTAAGGTGCATTCTTGCGACCATCATGCGAGTCAATCTGTAATGCTGCTGAAGTGACTTCACCGTCATCTCGGTGTACCTACTAAGGTCAAGTGGACCCAATGATAGTGGTCTCCATCCCTTCGAGAATCGTCGAACTTTTGTGTCGAGAAGAAGATTGTCGTGTTTTACGACGAAATCCAATATGCCCGCACAATTGATGTCTGTGATGCTGCGATAGGGTAGTGGCGACTGTCTCTGACTTTGCGTTTGCGTTATCCCCGATTTCAATTGTGATGTTGTCTGTCTACCTAAATTTGAAAGGATTCGCCTCGCATCTTCATCTTTTTTTAACTCTTGTAACGAAACGTTCCCTGTTGTGCTACCCTCTGTACTGGTTGATTGCTATGATCCCTACAATCAAATGAACGCCCACTATCCAACAGAGAAAGGTCGTTAGGCAACAGACTGCAAACACACAACACCCCTTTCGACGAGGGTCAGACAAACCCCGGAACCTCAAGCAAACTTTAAATGAGGAGAGATGGTCCCTGCACTCCGACTGTCTCTCTCACCCTCTCCTATTAACTCTAAAAAATGCCGCAGGTATCCCACAGCAGACACGCAGGAGCGCCCTCATGCACGCTCTGAGGAATGTCCGCAGAGCGTACATCGACGAGGAGCTGACGCCGTACCTGGTGGCCAAGAGGCACTACAACAAGGCGCGCAAGAAGTACTTCACCGCGACGGGCACGTACAGGGGGTTCGTCCTGCAGAAGCCGGAGCTCGCGCGGATGGCGCGCCTGTTGTCGGAGCGCGCGATGCACGGCATCGTCAAGGGGCTGGTCGACTGCGCGGAGGACGCCCGCAACCGGGCCGTCCTGCTCAACGTCGAGACCCAGCGGATTGCCGACACGTACCGGTCCTCCCACTCGCGGGAGAGGCCGCGGCTGGCGGCCGCCAAAGCGGGCGGCGCCGGCGCG